GATTCTGTGACCCAGAGCTGTGCTGGAGGGATTGACCCACTCCAGTGTGGGGCATCTGCTCTGCCTTGGTCACAGACAGCCCCAGGACTGACCCTGCCCTAAACCCTCTTTGCTCAGGCTGGGAAATCACATCTCAACAAAGCCCAGCCCAAACCCTGCGGCCTCTTGGTTACTCCTCCCTTGTCTGCCATGCCCCTATTAATGAAGCAGATAAGGAAGCTCTGGGATGAAGAAGCTCCATAAATTTGTACTATTATATTAATCTCATCTCCATCAGGGTGAAAACAGTTGTGTACTGTGAGTTCTCCAGGCAGGCCCCAGATTTCCAGCTGACATTAATGGATGGATACACGGCCTCCAGTGCAAGATCTGTTTAATCATTGAGGTGCTTGGAGCGACTCTGGTACAACATCAGCCCCAACTTGCTCCTGTGTCACCATGGCAACCCCCCCAAAACAAAAGGAAATGTTCAACCACCAGCAAATGGCATCACCAACATCAGGGAAGAGCCTCTGGCTCTCGTGGGGTGGTTTAGTTGTGGGGTTTAGTGCCAAGACCATGAACCATGGCGGGGTTAGAACGTTGAGAAGGTGCAAGAAAAGGCAGATGGGTGGAAATTGGGGCATCAGGGCTCTCCTGGGGGGAACTGGGAATGCTGGTTGGCACCTGAATGTGGTGCTGCCACCCGAGAGCAAGAGCAAGAGCACATGGTTTGGTTTTGAGGAACAACAGGCATTAAATTCAGTTGGAACTGGTTAATGTGTTGAAACTGGTTGATGTGTTGGAACTGGATGATCTGTTGGAACTGGGTAATCTCTTGGAACTGCTTAATCTGGTGAAACTGGTTGATCTCTTGAGACTGGTTAATCTGTTGGAACTGGTTAATCCATTAGAACTGGTTAATCTGTTGGAACTGGTTGATCTGGTAAAACTGGTTGATCTCTTGGAACTGGTTAATCTGTTGGAACTGGATGATCTTTGAAGTCCCTTCCAGCCCAAACCACTCTATCATTCTGTAAAATCCTCCCAACCCAAACTCTTCTGCAACAAACAACCCCATTCCTGGTGTTATGCTGTGAACCTCCTGCACAGGGAACAAAACCTTCCCTAACACACGAAATCTGCCCTAAATGCTCAACAAAGCCCCAGTTCCCTGGGATAACTTGGGATGTGAAGGCTCCAGCTGCTTTGTCACCTGTCCCAGCAGCGAGGGCAGGATGGTCACCTGCTCCTCTTCCTCATGGCCCATGAACAACCATCCCCAGCAACACTTGATTTATTTGTGGATGGGAAAACCCTCCTCTTGGATGGCAAAGGAAAAAGCTTAGAGGGTGGTGGGGCACTGGAACAGGGGGGTTTGGTTGTGGCCCCAATTTGGACAATTCAATTTGGACAAAATTTGGATAATTCAGGGACATCAGGGTGGGGGTTTTGGGGTATCCTGTGCAGGATGAGTTGGACTCCATGGTCCCTGTGAGTCCCTTCCCACTCCATGGTTCCGTGATTCTCTGAAATCTCTCTAATGGGACTGAGCACCTTGGGGAGAGGGGCAGAGCAAGGGACACTGAGGCACTTTGTGAGGAGGAATATGAGGGAAAAAACTCATTATCCTCATTTTTGGGCCCCCCATTTTCACCAGCATGGCCCAACCAAGGAAAGCAGTGACTTCCCAGTACATGAGCTCCAAAATGACCCTGAGATGAGCCAGCTGGTCAGAGCTGGTGCTGGGAACACCAAGGTTGTGGGTTTGATCCACTCATTTAGGAGCTGGACTTGATGCTCCTCGTGGGTCCCTCCCAACTCAGAATATTCCATGAAATTCTGTGAAATCCATGCTTTTTGTGCCCCTCAAACCCCTGCCTGGGGGTCAACACCCATCAGACCCTTGCAGACACAGCAGGGCTCTGCAGCTTCATCCTGATTTCCATTGAAATGCCATCCTGTTGGTATTAATAGAGAATAAATAGATTGGGAAGGAGTTTTTCTGCTGGAAGGCAAATCATGATTGACGTGATTTCTTCCCTGCCAAGGAGTTGATTGTTGGAGCTTTGACTGCAGCAGCTTCTTCAGCCTCACCTGGGAGATGAAGTCACGTGGAGGGAGATGAGCTGGAGGTACCCAAGCAGAGGACTGAGTGGGAGGAAGGATTTATTTTGGGTTATCCCAAAAACCCGCCCTAGAAATGCTTTGGAGAGGCTTTGGCTCAAAACTGAGTGGAACTGCAGGAAAGCAAAGTGGCTTTTTTTTGGACCTGTGTCCTGGAGGCAACAAAAGATTGGCCAAAACCTCTCTGAAAACTCCTCAAAAAAACCCCCTCAAGACCCCAAAATTCCATGACATCTGATTAAATGCATAGAAAAACACGGACAGTCCAACTGGTCTGCAAGGAAATGGGAGTTATTTGATGGACCCAGAGCTGAGAGAAGCAAAAAAAAGGTGTTTTTCTCCCTTAATTGATGCTTTTCCACCCCCAAATAAGCAGGATGGCAACTCATCTGAGCTGTGGTGGCCACAAAACCACATTCCCTCCCTTTCCATGGTTTGATTTTACATCAAAAGTTCTTTTCAAGGAGAGAGGGGAAAAAAAAAGAAAAAAAAAGGGAAAATGTGGTTATTGAAATGTTGGGACAATTTTCTTTAGTGATAAAATTATTGCATAATTATCCAATATTGTAACATGAAATGATAACCTAATTATTTTCAGGATGTTTGTCCATTTCCATCGATCTCCAGGATTTTTACTGGCTGTAATTCCAGCTTTTCCAAGCAGCCTTTCCATCACCCTTTTTAATTCCCTGCCTGGGAGAACTGTTGTTATTCCTGGTTTTAATCCTGATGGATTTAATCCCAGAGCATCTCAAAGGGAATATTTCCAAGCTCAGCACTGGTGGATTGAGAATTGCTGCTGAAAAGTAGGATTTAGGGCCGATTTTCCCCCAAACACCCCTAATTTGCTCCCTCCTGCCTCCCTGACCCTGTCCTTGCAATGCCAGCAAGGTTGGAGGAGTTTTTCCATCTCCCTTCCACCATGAGACAGAGTTGTAGTTGGTTTGGAGGGTCTCCAGGTGGTGCTTTTGGGTTTATTTCACCCTCACAGCAATTTTTTGGGGGTTTTATCAACCACAAGGGCTCCTCCAGCTGCAAAGTGATTTAAATTTGTTAGAAAAGTGCTAAAAAATCACTGGCAGGCCCAAGGTTGGAGGTGTTGGAGCTTTCCTGGCTGGTTGCACTCCAGCCCTGGCTTTGCCTTCTGGAGGTCTCAGCCTGAGGTGTTTCTCCAAGCAAGGATTTCAACGGAAAACACACAATTTTTGTGGAAAATCCTCGCTTTCCATTGTTCTCTTACTTGAGTTGAACCATTGGGTTGAGTCTGAGCAGCAGACTCGGGTTTTTTGGCACCTTCTTGGGTTCCCTGCTCTGAACCCCGTGAGAAAACCCCCCCAAAACCCACTAATTAGGGGGGCTCAGCCAACACCAGCCATTGGAAGGATGAGGAAGAGGAAGGAGATGAATCCTCCTGGGAATTTGATCCCAGTCCAACAAGGGGAAACGAGAAATGTGGGGGCAGAACCACATTTGGGAGACCTTTGGCTTTTTCCATCCAGCTTCCAACACCAAACAGGTTTTTGAGGAATAATTACCATGTGAGTCAGCTGGATTTCTACCTGGATTAGGGTGATAAATTTGGGGACAGAGAAAGAGCTGAGAGCACCACCTCCTATTTATATAATTCATATATTAATCCCTAAGTCTCTGCCACCCAAAAAATGCAACACAGGGAGAATTTACGGAAAAATTAAAAGGCAAATCCCTTCATTCTGAGGCAGGAGAAGGGATGAAGGAGGAGCAGAGCCTGCAGTGACACATGTGGAGTGATGTAAAGTTCCTCCTCTTCCCAAAGCTTGACGTGGAGCAGGGAGGGAGTAAAAAATCTGCCGCGTTCTCGCTTCATCTTCCCAGCGCTCCTGGCTCCTGAAAAACTGGATTTGCAGAGGGATAAATTCAATCTGCCACATCACCACGGGAGCTTTGCTCACCCTGGATGACTGATGGTCCGAGGGAAGAGCCTCCGAGCCTGGTGGCATCTCAGATCCCTCATCCCCCCCTGCTCCAGAGCTCTCATTTTTGGCTTTCCTCCTGGAATTCTTGGCACTGGGATCCACAGGATTTTGTGC